GGGGCTGACTAAGGGGACAGGACTGAGGAGGTGGGACAGGGGCTGACTAAGGGGACAGGGCTGAGGAAGGGTGACAGGGGCTGAGGAGGGGGGACAGGGCTGTGGAAGGGTGACAGGGCTGAGGAAGGGTGACAGGGGCTGAAGTAGGGGACAGGGACTGAGGAGGGAGACAGGGCTGAGGAGGGGTGACAGGGGCTGAGGAAGGGTGACAGGGGCTGAGGAAGGGTGACAGGGGCTATCTAAGGGGACAGGGCCTAAGGAAGGGGACAGGGGCTGACTAAGGAGACAGGGCTGAGGAGGGGAATGAAAAAAAACTAAAGTGTATTTCCCCCCTCCCTGAATCTTACCTTAGGCCAGGGAGGGATGGGCAGCAGCCAGCAAGAGCAAGGAGCAGCAAGCATCAGCCAGCAGTCAGTGAGGTCGGCCTCTCCTGATGATGTCAGGAGGAGGGGGCGTGACTTCCTCTGCTCTTCTCCCAGACTCCCCAGCGGTCCTGTGAGAAGAGCAGTGAAAGTCATGCCCCCTCCTCCTGACATCATCAGGAGAGGCCAGCCAACTCCACTGGTTGCAGGCTGCAGGAAGAGTGAAGTAAGTTGAAAAATCTGAGTCCTCAGCCAGAGGCAGGGCTGGAGCCAGAGGCAGGGCTGGAGCCAGAGGCAGGGGATTCAGATTTTTCCTTTGTTTGCTGGATGCAGACGGCCCTGGGTTTAGGGCGGCCTTGGGGGCAATTGCCTCCCTGCCCCCTTCCCAGCCAGCCCCTGTCCTCACAGCATAATTTTTCAAATTCAGTGAGTTCCCTCACCTTTTGTGGGATCTATGACATGTAGTGAGATAGTTGGTGTTGTGTAAGAGTCTGCAGTAGCATGTGTATCCATAATGAGCAGATCCCTTATAGTGTCCCCCTCAGGAGAAATTAAATGTTGTACCCCTGGGTGTATCATCTCTGGGAAAGATGATTTAATTGTGCCTCATGGAAACATTGGATTGTCCCACAGGGGAAGCATAGAGCTTGGGTGAGTTGTTAAAAAGAATCCTGTTACCATGTGAGACAGACCAACACTGTAGCTTCCACTAGTGGGTGAGCCTTTGCTCTCTTCATACCATCCACAGGATTCCACCATGGCAAGGCCGTCAGGTCCTATCTAACAAGATATCTGACATCATTCAGGAAATCTTCCTGGAACAGTGTATTGCATAGTAGTATTTGTGTTGTGTAGTATCGCCACCAAGGATTCTTTTTTTTTTTTTACACACATGTTGCATAGTAATGGAAGGGCCAGTCTCCCTGTTAGCTTGGGTAGCGTTACAAAGAGTATGGCAAGCATTGGATATTATTCCTCCATATGAATGTTTGTAGCATTTGTAGCGGGTAATAGACCATTAGAAGATTTGTAATTTTCACCACATTTATTCTCCATATCCAGGATATATGTGGTTTGTCCCTCTGCTGATGATCTCATGACAGGAAACGGGTGGTCGTTACAAGCATTATCCAATCTCTAATAAAATCATCTATCTTATCTTAACATCTTAAAGGGACACTATAGTCACCAGAACAACTACAGCTTATTGAATTTGTTCTGGTGAATAGAATCATTACCTTCAGGCTTTTTTCTGTAAACATTGCTTGTTTCAGAGAAAATGCAGTGTTTACATTACAGCCTAGTGATAACTTCACTGGCCACTCCTCAGATAGCTGTTAGAGATACTTCCTGGGTCATGGCTGCCTAAAATGCATCCAAACATTCAGTGTCTCCTCCCTCTGCATGCAGACACTGAACTTTCCTCATAGAGAATCATTGATTCAATTCATCTCTATGAGGAGATGCTGATTGGTCAGGGCTGTGTTTGAATTGTGCTGGCTCTGCCCCTGATCTGCCTCTTTGTCAGTCTCAGACAATCCTATGGGAAAGCATCGTGATTGGATCAGGCTTCCACTTCTGCTGATGTCAGCAGGCAGTGGGCAGGTCAAAGGAAACAGTGACCAAGCAAGCAGCTGCAGAATTTAATACATGTAAGATTTTACTATATTTAGGGAGGCAAGAGGGGACCAGGGTGGCTACATGGTGGTTTTAACCCTGTAGGGTCAGGAATACATGTTTGTGTTCCTGACTCTATAGTGCTCCTTTAACCTATAGCAAGCTTGCAGGTGTATCTTCATGTTCGGGCCTTGCTCAAAGCTATGTTTCACAATAACCACGCACTTAAAATTAATATGCATACGCACTTCGAATTAAAGATATTTACTACGCAGTTCTAAATTACACATTACTATGCAGTTATGATCAAAGGGAGAAACACAGGAAATAAGGCCCAACAGCAGAAGCATACGGGATATAACACCTGTTACACAATGTTCTACAGCTCTTGTCTAGGGGTATATTCACTAAGTATCACGGTAGTTTACCCCTACACACAAGATTTAGTCCAACAATCGACAGATAGAGCAGATACTACTTACCGGACCTTAGAAAACCCAAGAAAACGCTGAATGGCTTTCAGACCCTGAGGTAAAGGCCATTCCATGACAGCAGAAAGCTTCTGGGGATCCATACGAAAACCTTTAGCAGAAATTACATAACCTAAAAACTGTACTTCGGATTGGTCAAATAAACATTTTTCTAGTTTACAATAAAGACTATTAACAAGAAGGGTTTTCAAAACTGTTTTAACATGCATGTGATGAGTATGTAAATCTGTTAAATATATTAATATGTCGTCCAAGTACACTATCATAAATGAGTGAATGAACTCTTGTAAGACGTCATTAATAAATTCTTGAAACACTGCTGGGGCGTTACAAAGACCGAATGGCATCACAGTATACTTGTAATGACCACTCCTAGTATTGAATGCAGTTTTCCACTCATGGCACTTTTTTTATACGTATGAGATTGTATGCACCTCTAAGGTCCAATTTAGTAAACACAGTAGCTTGTTTAAGACTGTCGAATAATTCAGTGATTAATGGTATAGGGTAAGTATTTATTATAGTGATTTTATTTAGACCCCTATAATCAATACAAGGTCTTAAATCGCTCTCCTTTTTTGACACAAAGAAGAACCCTGCCCCTGCCGGAGAAGAGGATCTCCTTATAAATCCCTTTTGCAGAGATTCTTTGATATATTCCTCCATGACACGATTTTCTTGAGGAGACAAAGGATACACCCTGCCTTTGGGAGGTATAGTGCCAGGCAATATATCAATAGCACAATCGTAGGGTCTATGAGGCGGTAATTTTTCAGCCTCCCTTTTATCGAAGACAGACTTAAGAGACATGTACTGAGGAGGTATAACAGTAGACAAAGGAGGAGTAGTAGGAACATTAATAGAATTCAAAAGGGTGATTTTAATGATACAAGACTCTTGGCAGGTTTTACTCCAAGATACTATTTGTCCTGACTCCCAGTCAAAAATGGGATTGTGAGAACTTAACCCTGGGTACCCTAACACAATGTGAGAGGAAGGAGAAGTGATGACCTGAAACCGAATGGTTTCTGAGTGTAACATCCCTGTATACATATGCAACGGTTCAGTTTCATGTGTGATAACTGGGGAGCATAATGGTCTACCATGCGTGTCTTCTTCTCTCTAATGGGTATTTTGTTTTTCTTAACAAATCTAGAGTCTATGAAATTCTCGGCTGCCCCGGAATCAACCAGGGCTAGTATGTTTCTTGCTATGCAATTATTGTCTAGATGCAGAGAAACAGGGAGAAGTAGTTGATGAAGAGGCAATTTTGGGGACTTAGATATCACACCCAAGGCCAGTCCCCTATATGGCCTTAGGTGCGATAGTTTTCCAGAAGCACGGGACATTCTTTTACCATATGACCCGTCTTACCACAGTATAGGCAAAGTCCCTCCTTTCTCCTATACAATATTTCAGCTTCAGAGAGTTTGGTAACCCCTAATTGCATGGGTTCCTCCTCTGATACCTTTGAACTCTCAGGATTAGCAACTCTAGGAGTATTTAACGTAGCAAAACATCTATTCCTATTCTTAGTATAGAGTCTATCACAAATCCTATTATCTATATCAATAAGATAGTCGATAAGGTCCTCTAATGGGATAGGAAGATCCCTAGCTGCTACCTCATCCAATATAGTATCAGATAGACCTTCCATGAATGCTGTAGTTAGCCCATTGTTGGTCCAATCTACCTGCGAAGCAAGGGTACGAAACTGAATAGCATAATCAGCAACAGACCTAGAACCCTGTTTAATTCTCATTAATGCCCTGGCGGCATTCTTTGACATTTTAGTTGTGTCAAAGGTTCTACGAAAAGCCGTAAGGAAGCTATCGAAATTATGCACCATAGGTCCATTAGCCTTCCAAATAGGATTTGCCCACTCAAGTGCTTTATCAGTAAGTTGGTGCATAAAGAATCCAACTTTAGACCTGTCAGTGGGAAAGGAACGTGGATACATCTCAAAGTGGAATTCCACTTGATTAATAAATCCCCTGCAAGACTTAGCATCCCCTCCATAACTAGGTGGAGGGGTTAAATGTGCAGAAGCATTAGGCATGGTGGATACATCTGGAACAAGGGGTGCAGTAGGAGTTGGTACTGTTACCGGAGTAGTTCTAGATAAGAGTGTCTGGAGGGCCTGAGCTATCTGATCCATGCGGTGATCCTGCTCTGCAAATCTAGCCTCATGAGAAGCCAATTGCTGACTTAAATCTGCGGGGTCCATGGCCCTATCGTAATGTCACTGTAGTTTACCCCTACACGCAAGATTTAGTCCAACAATCGACAGATAGAGCAGATACGACTTACCGGACCTTAGAATGGCCGGACTCGCCGTATAGCAGAGAATAGACAGAGTCAAGAACGAGCCGAGGTCAAGGGAATAAAGAGACTGCGAAAACAAAAACTAGCCAAGGTCTGGTACACAGTAGTCAGTAAGCCGGCAAACAAGACAAAACAGGGATAGAGAGATAAATGGAGTCAGACAAAGCCAAGGTCGAGCATGAAAATCACAACTGAACACAACAAGCGCTAAAGGGAACTGAAACAGAAACCACGATAGGGCAGTGAGTTAAGGGAGAGGTAAGTATAAATACCCTAAACTTTACTTTGATTGGCCCCTGTCATATCCACGCCCCCAAAATGTGAGTGTCTGGGGAATGTGGGATGACAGGGGCCAATGGGAGACCATTGTATTTTTTTGGCTCCCACTGCCCCTTTAAGAGCGTGCCCGAGACACGCGGCACGCTCTTAGAGCTAGGCAGGACACGTGACTGCATCTCGCAGTCCATGCCCACCCTCATTCGAGAGCCGCGTGTAAGTACCGTTACACTAAGCATTGGATATAGATAAAATGTTTTATTTCAAATAGATAGCTGACATGTTCCAACTTAGCCAATTTTAAACAGACTGAGCATCAGGTCATCTGTAGCTTGAGCCTTGGGTAAATATTAAACACTGAATGTTAATATGTTCATCAATGCGTGTTATGTGATAACATTATTGCGCACGTGATGAAAGGAGTGGAGCGGTTGTTTGTGCCGTTTGAGGTGCAGTGATCAGATAGAAGCTTGTGGCAATACCAAAATTGACAAACAGATCGACAAACAGAATAAACTCACGGAGTCAAGATGACACCAGATCAAGAGTGTGGAAACAGCGGGCGGAGGAGATTAAACCCTGTGGCAAAACAAGGATTGAGGACTGGGCCTCGCGGTCAAACTAATGCGCGGTAAAACTAATACTGCTCAATATTAAGGTTCCACGAAGACGCGAGATCAGAAAACTGAACAACGGGAGGAGGTGACTGATCCTCGGGATTTTATGTTGGTGATTTCCTCTGCGAGGACTACCTCACACCATTTTGCTGACTGGTGTTTAAAGTTGTAAAAAAATACAAAAACCGGTAATAGCGATTAAGTTATTGTTAAGATTCAATTTGAAGGGAAAAAAAATAAAGGGAAAAAAAGTGTTTGAAGGTGATAGAAAGAAGCAGGGTAAAAAACAAAGACAAGAGAGCTGAGAACTGAATAAGATAATAAGTAAGAAAGAGAGCGAAATAAGAGAGAGACAGAAATTAAGCAAAGATTCACTTTACATAGTATGTGGTAACCGAAAATTGAAGATTGTTTGACAAAAAATTATGGAATTTCCCTAAACTTCCCTAATTAGTAACTACTCTCCTGCCTATCAGAGAGTTAAGTCTCTAGTACCTTTATTATTAAGGTACAGAACTCAATGTAACAAATAAACGAAGCATAGAAAACAACAGCCTATATCTATTCCTTAAAATCGTTACAAGGATTAATGGTTATAGAGGAAGTCACAAAGTCATAAAAAAGAAAAGGAAAGGAAAAAGAAAAAAAAAAAAAACAATAGGAAAAAATATTAAAGCATAAAGGCAGACAAGAATAAGGGAATAGAAGAGGAGAAAATAGCAATCTTGGCAATCTTCTTATAGCCTTGACAGACCATCTTTATGTAGAGCAACAATTCTTTTTTTGAGATCCTAAGAGAGTTATTTGCCATGAGGTTCCATGTTGATCTTCCAGTGACCAGTATGTGAGAGTGTAAGAGTGATAACACCAAATTTAACACACCTGCTCCCCATTCACACCTGAGACCTTGTAACACTAATGAGTCACATGACACCGAGGAGGTAAAATGGCTAATTTGGCCCAATTTGGACATTTCCAAGGGTGTACTCACTTTTGTTGCCAACAGTTTGGTTTAGACATTAATGGTTGTATGTTGAGTTATTTTGAGGGAACAGCAAATTTACACTGTTATGCAGGCTGTACACTTACTACTTTACATTGTAGCAGAGTGTCATTTCTTCAGTCTTGTCACATGAAAAGGATATAATAAAATATTTACAAAAATGTGAGGGATGTACTCACTTTTGTGAGATACAGTATATATGATCTAAGTAAATATTATTTAATTTTAAACTGTTTTAAAACTTTATTTCATTTTATTACAGGCAGCAGGGGGACTCTCTGTCATTCCAGGCACTCCCCCTGCTGGCACTGCTGTGGACGGCTATTCCGTCAATGTGATCGTGAGGTCCTCGCAAGGACCTCACGATCACTTGGCCCAGGAGGGCCGGATCAGCAGCAGGGGGACTCCCTGGGATGTCAGGCAAGTCCCCCCATCACGATCGCCGAGGGGGGATCGCCAGCGAGCAGGTAAGTACATAGGACGACGTGGACGTGCTATGCCGCCCTCCGGCGTTTAGAACCGGGTCCCTAAGGACGGCATAGCACGCTCGCTGTCCTTAAGGGGTTAAAGAAGGACGATATTCAATAATTGTTCTTCCAGATCTTTCATTTAGTACTAGACAAAAAAGAAGAATATTTGCACCAATCATTTCGATTCTGAAGAAACACAATTTGAAATTTAAATGGGGTTTCCCATTTAAGATGATAATCATCCACGAGGGTCGTTTGAATTCCTTCAAATCAACTGAACAAGCAGAAGAATGGTTAAATACCAATAATTATACTTAACATATATCTGGAAGGGAAAAAGACCCAGGATAAATACAATGGTCCTGGCGAAAAATCACCGTAAGGGAGCTTTAAAGGATCACTATAGTGTCAGTAAAACAAACTCGTTTTTCTGACACCATAGCATCCTTGGAGGACCCTCACCCTCAGGGTCCTCCTCCTGCTGGGCTGGAGGGGTTAAAACCCCTTCAGCCACTTACCTTAATCCAGCACCGGGCTCCCTTGGCGCTGGTGACCTCTTCTCCCCCGCCGACGTCAGCTCCCGAGTGGAGCGGAATGCATTCTAACAGTCCATAGGAAAGCATTTCTAAGTACTTTATTATGGACGTTCTGCACGCTGGACGCAATATCCCTTGCATAAGTCCAGGGTAATGAGATAATTACCCCCAGCCATTCTATCTAGGAGTTCGTCTATCCTCGGCATGGGGTAGTGTAACGAAAATATACCCCAACATGCAGGATTTAAGCTAAACAAATGTCAGCACAGAGGGAAGGTACGTCTACCGGACCTTAGAGTGGCCTGACTCGACGTAAAGGAGAGAGATACAGAGTCAGGAGCGATCCGAGGTCAAGGGCACAAAGAGACAGCGTAAACTTGGACTAGCCAGGGTCTGGTACACAGAAAACAGCAAGCCGGCAAACAGAACAGATAAGGATAAAGAGATAACGTAGTCAGAAACAAAGCCAAGGTGAAGGTCAAGTAGGAAGAAACACAACTGAACACAACAAGCGCTAAAGGGAACTGAAACAGAAACCACGATAGGGCAAGGAACTAAGGGAAAAGGGTGAGTATATATACCTAAACATCTAATATGATTGGTCCCTGTCACATCCACGCCCCCAAAAGGTAAGTGTATGGGGAGTGTGGCATGACAGGGACCAATGGGATGCCTTTTCCAATTTAGGCTCCCACTGTCCCTTTAAGAGCGCGCCCGAAAACCGCGGCGCGCTCTTAGAGTTAGGCGGGACACATGTACGCTTCTCGCGGTCACTGCCCGCCTTCCTGTTACAGCCGTCGGATGAGCCACGCGCGGCTCGTGCAGCAGCAGGACAGCGCGGCTCAAACAGAGGACCCCGGCCGGCCCCTGGAAAGGGTAAGTACCGCTACAGGTAGGCGTCCTTTATGGTTCGGTCATTGAGCTTCCGGTAGTCGACACAGAAGCGAGTAGTGCCGTCTTGCTTCAGTACCAGCACTACCGGGGAGGCCCAAGGACTCTGGGAGGGATCTATAACCCCAGCTGGAGCATCTCTTGTATCTCAGAGAGCATATTATGTATAACCGCCACAGGGATACGGTAGGGCTGTTGCCTTAGTGGGGTATCTCCCTGGGTATCCACTCAGTGGACTGCAGCTGAGGTGTACCCGGGTAGGGCAGAAAACATGTCCCGGTATTCCTGAAGCAGTTGAGAGGCCTCGCTCTTTTCTTGGGGGGTTAAAGTCTCACCTAGCTGTACCTGCTCTATGGTGTTGGGGCTAGGGGCTAGTAAGTGTGGTAAGGGGAGCCCCTCGCTATCCTCACAGGCAGGGGCGCATATGGCCGCTACATCGCCTGTCTACTCAAAATAAGGTTTCAGCATGTTCACATGAAAGGCCCTCCGGATCCTTTCATCTGAACACTTGCTGACTATGTACGTGGTGTCACTTATTTTCTCCACCACAATGAAAGGTCCCTGCCAGGCGACTTGAAGCTTGTCTTTCTTTGAGGGCTACAGGGCCAGCACTCGCGGTCCTATTTCCAGGACTCTATCTCGGGCACCCCTAACGTACCATCTCTTCTGGCGGCTCTGGGCCACCTGCAGGTGCTCCCGGACAGATTCCATGAGGGTCTGCAAGCGGTCCCGGAACTCCAGAACATACTGCACAATAGGGACTCCCTCATCACCTGTGTTGCCCTTCCAATGCTCTCGTATGAGGTCCAGGGGTCCCCGGACATTTCTCCCATAAAGGAGTTTGAAGGGGGAGAACCCTGTAGAGGCCTGAGCACTTCGTGGTAGGCAAACAGGAGGTGAGGGAGAAACCTTTCCCAGTGCGAACAGGATGCTGTGAACGTCTTAAGCATCTGCTTAAGGGTACCGTTAAACCGCTCACATAGTTCGTCTGGGGACAGTAGGGAGAGCTGAACAGGGGTTTCACACCGCAACTCTGCCATAACTGTTGGGTTATAGTTGCGATGCACTGTGTCCCCCTGTCCGACAAGATCTCCCTGGGGAAGCCTACCCTAGTAAAAATCTTTACTAAAGCCTTAGCCACCGTCTCTGCCTCTATGTTGGGTTACCGCCTCAGGGTATCTGGTAGCATAGTCATCCTAGCTGGCCGCGCTCTCACCTACCTCCTAGCGGGATCACACCATCCGATCCCATCTAGAAGTTAGGGAATCCCCTTGCAGCGACCCTGCTCTTGATTCCCGAGCAAGCTGTGTATCCTTGGTATGTG